ATATATATATATATATATATATATATATATATATATATATATATATATATATATATATATTCAGATAATAGTTCTAGTTTTCACGGCGAGAGAAGAACCGTGTGGAGGATATTTCGGAATGGAGTTACTAGATCACCGTGTTGTAGTTTTCTTTCATGCTTAAAAGTAGAAGTCTGTTAATTTGGTTGTCATTTGGGCTTAGCCAAGGTCTTGAAGACGGATTTGCTATTTGAAAAATTTGGAACAACAGTGAAAAGGGTTGGTCTTGGGAACCTAAACATAACTTGTTAATATTGTTTGATCCATGGTTGTTCAAAATGTGTGTTAATTGTTTCTATAGCCCATGCCTAGCATTTTGCTCTTTTAAAAGCATTTGTTTGTCAACTTCCGAAGCATGTGGAAGCTTCTTGTCTCATTACACCATAGTTATTAAGGTGTTTCTTAGGCGTTAAGGGCTAAGAGATGACGCGTCGTTTGAAAACACCTAAGGCGATGAGGTGCTAGCCTAAGCATCGCCTCTTGCCTGAAAACATCTAAGGCGATGAGGAGCACTATTTTTAAAAAGTAACATATGTGTTCAATTCGTGTTTTCTATACTCTCTCTCTCTCTCTCTCCCTCTATATATATACATATTCTTTTTTGTTTGCTTTCTTTGTTGAGAATGTCAATGCATATGTGTAATTATTGAAATAATATGATTTTTTGTCTAATCTTCTGTTATTGTAATATGTATCAGAAAAACATCCTATAGCTGACCTGGATCTCACGTTGGTGTTGTCGGAGGCAATAGAGTCTGAGGTTGGGCAAATTCCACTTACCGAATTCCCGAACTTGACTGCAATGAAGATGTGGACATACTTGCGTCTTGCTGCGATTGATTTCAAGGTGATCTTGGACCCTAATCAAGGTAATCACAATGACATTGAATTTTTTATGTCTTCTGACTCTTCTTCCTTTGCAACTTAAGGTGTTAATTCTTTGCCACCAACAAGATGATACCAAACTGGCATTGATTTCTGCAGTGTTCAGTAACTGACCTAAAGAGAAACAAAAATTCAAAGTAAAAAAATTGTTAACTGTAAGGTATTGGGTGAGTGTGTGGGTTGATAGGTCTACTGTGACTGTTTGGGTTCTAGTCGTTGCTGTGATAGTAGAAACTCGATCAATTTGTTGCTGACCTCGTGTGTTCATTGTGTTTAACATGTAGGCCTGTGAGATTAATGGTGCTTGTGTAGTACTAGTTTCAGGTTCAATATGCATATATAGACAGTAGGTTTCAACTTCATTTGTGGATTTTTTGTAGTTGGTATATAGACAACATGTTAGCCAGGTGAGATTGTGAAGGGGTCTCACCATTCACCATTTGAGCTGATGAGGCATTAAAGGCAGAGTTTCTAATGTGGTTTGAGAAAAAATGTGTGAGATGCGTTACATATTGTTTATTTTAATTTGTTTGTGCACTCATAACGCTTGAAATAATTTGTGAAGTCTTGTGCAGTTGAACATTTGGATACTTAATCTTGTGCCACTCGTTTGTGATGTAGCAATATCTTAGTGTATTAAACCATGTTTTCCATTTCAATGTAGGTCCAATGGTGCAATCACGTGATTTCATTGCACACAGTCTTGAAGACCTATTGAATTTCTTACCATGTAAAATACAGGAGGATTCAAATGCAATTTTGGTACCTATTCCTTTGAGAGAAGCAATTGCTTCTCTCGAAGATATGGTGCACCAAAAGATTCATGAACCAACGATGGAAATTGTGATACAAAATGAATTTGAGGTTATTGGTGAACATTTAGGGGAGGAAAAGTTTTTGTTCCATATTGAGTAAGTAAAGTATTGTCTATAATCTTATGTTGAGTGTTTGGCTTATGTCTTTGACTTTATATCGAATCTTTAGCTACTTCTCTATGACTTTAAATTGAGTTTCTGAGTTCTAAACTTTACAAATTTTATAGGGATGAGAGCGTGCCTACAGTCGAAGATGCTAAGTTGATTTCATGTGCATTAATCATTAGAAGGATTTTGGTACAAAAAATAGTATATAATATAGATTTAAAAGAAACTGTTATAACATACCCTCTTTTAAAATATTTAACATGCGAACGTTAATATCTTGTTCTAAAGCAGAGGACCAGCGAATTACATCGTCTGCTCTCCTATAATCCATGGCTTCTTGTGTACGTGGATCATTTCGTCAACATTTACATGTTGATGTTAGACAAAAGTGCAACTCTAGAGGGGAGGGTGAATAGAGTTGTTTTCAAGAATGTACGTTTTTCGTAAAAATTATCGCAGGAAAAAGTAAGGAGAGTAAGGGAAAGAAGAACACCGGGATTTATACTGGTTCACCACCTCGTGGCTAGTCCAGTCCTCCGAGAGACTCTCTCGAAAGTCCTACTAATCTTCAAGCTTCAACGGGTGCTTGAAAAAACGGTACAACTTGAGAACTTGAATCACACAAGCCTCACTTTCTTACAACAACAAGACTTGAGTCACACAAGTCTTAAGAACAACACTCAAATGAGATTGAGTTTACAACACAAGAATGAAAGCTCACACAATTGAGCAAAGTAGTGTTGAAAGATTTAAGCTCTATGGATGACAACTTCTATAGCACTCAAAGAAAAAATATTTCTAACTCTCAAAAATAATATTTTGATGAGGAGGATGAAGCAAAGGATGAATAGCTCAAAGAAATATATTGGAGTGCAAGAGGTGTGTTGAAATGAATGAGAATGAGGGATTAAATAGGCTGAGAAAAAATAAAGCCGTTGAAGAAAGCTGATGTTCTGTACCAGAGAGAATTAATCGATTAAATTAGGAATTT